AGGTCTCTCAGCCCAAGATCTCTTGGCTGTGGCTTCTCTGGATGAGCCACAAGGACAGACCATGAGAGAGAAAGGAGAGAGGAAGGTGAGAGGATGCGTGTGCCCAGCCCACTCTCCATTCCTGTTTCCCACTTGTTCAGATGCTTCCAATGGCAAAGTATCTCCTCTGCACCTGAGGATTATATCGCCCGTCCCTTGGCTGCTCTTAGGAGGCCAGTTCCCACACCGTGCTGCAGAGTGCTCCATTCAAGTCCGCAGGAGGTAAAAGGAACCAGAAATTCTGGGCATGTGGCTTGGTGGGTGTCTTAGTCACTCTTATCTGGGGGACAAAATACTGGACACCCACAACTTAAAGGAGAAGAGGTTTATTTTGGCTCATGGTTGCCGTCCCTGGTTGGCTGGCTGCAAAGCAGGAAAGACGTGGTGGAAGGGATTAGCATCATGGCAGCCAGGAAGCAGAGGGCAAAGGGAGAAGCCAGGGAGAGGGGTAAACACTGCCAGGTCATGCCCCCTGTGACTTGCTCCAACCAGGGCCCACCACCAGATAGCACATTTAGCTCTGAACTCACCCGTGGATGAATCCACTGATGGATCCCCATGATCCAATCACCTTCCAAAAGCCCCACCTCTGGACACATGAGGCACCTGGGGGCCATCCCAGATCTGAACCCTGACAGGGAGCCTGTGCTCCTAGGACTAGTAGCTGGTTTCACAAGGGGCAGAACTGCCAGTGTGCATGTCAGGCACAGCAGCATCCTGGGCAGAGTGGGTAGCAGAGGGCTTGGAGCAGGTCAAGGGCCTTTGAGAAGATTCATCAGATTGGTGTCTGACGTCCTGTGTGACTTTAGACAAGTTACTGAATCTCTCTGAGCCCCAGCAACCCTAACTAAAATGAGGCCAGTCCTAGCTACCCACCTCCCCTCATGAAATAGTATCAGTTCCGGCTGAGTGCGCTGCCCAGGTCTAGCAGGCCCACATTACAGAGCAACCATTGTTTGCAGGGTGAGGAGAGACCCGGTGCTGGTGACATTGATAAAGTTGCATTGCCTGGAGAAGTCCATTGAGTTTTGAGAAAGTGGTGCTTTTGAGCTACAAGGTCGGGTGGCTTAGTAGATTTAAGAAAGAGGAGAAAAGAAAGAAAAAAATGCCATCCAAGAAGCAAATGCACAAAGGGTCTCTCCATTGCTCCCTACACATGGAGCCTCTTGTTCAAAAATTATTAAGAATTCCAACATGGCACCAGTGGGTATTAAACCCAGCCTTTTTGAGCACAAGGCGCTGTGTGGTTGATTGTGCGGATCACACACCCAGAGGGCTGCCCCATTCCCACACTCACACATTGCCAGGATGAAGCAGGTGGGGCTTAGTGCTTAGATCTTCTCTCTCCCTAGCAACCTCTCTCCCTACCTGTGCCTGGCTTCCTGGGGTCTCAGGAACATCCACGCGGGGGGAGGGCTATTTTAACTGATTGAAAGTGCTGCCCCCTGAGCCTGGAATGGTGTCTTCAGGAAGCCAGTGCATAGTGCTGCGGCTAAGTGCAAGTATGGAACATATATGTATATATAAATATTTTCTGTTGACACAATTCTGGTAGTTACAGGAGTGTTACCATGGAGATCGGCAGGGCCAGCTGTTGTTTCATTTTCCCCCAAGAATTGTATGGTAATCATGGTCCCCTGGAGAGCTCTCCTGGGGCAAGGCATGATATTAAAACTCCCCAAATCAGTGAACAGGTAGTGTGTGCCAATCACGTCCTCATTTGCCATAATTAACAGGGTTTTATAGGATTTTGATGAGAAGTCGCTAATTTGGAGTAGAAATCTGGAAGGTGGACTGCCTTGGGAACCCGGGTTTGAATCCTTACTCTGTCACTAAGTGGCTGTGTCACTTAATTCCTTAGACCCTGTTTCTTCATTTAGAAAATGGGTATCATTAGACTAAACTTGTGGGAACACTCAGGGTAAAGTGTATGAAATGCTTAGCTCAGTTTCTGGAACGTTGTCGATGGAAACTATATGATTAGGCGGCTGCTGATGATATTGATGAAATCATCGTTGCCATCATCATCATCAAGCTTACATTTATGGAGGGTTCCACTTAGTGTGTCCCTATGTGTATGAATATTGTCTCATTTAATTTTTTCAGTGTTGGAGATTGAACCCAGGGCCTTCACACTCAGCTACGTCCCCGGCCCTTTTTCAGTTTTTCAATTTTGAGACAGGATCTCTCTAGGCTGATAAGTTGCCCAGGCTGGGCTCCACCTTGCAGCCCTCTTGCCTCAGCCTCCCATAGTGCTGTGATTGTAGATATGCCCAGCTTCTCACTTAATCTTCATCAGCGAGAAATCATCATCAATGAATATACTGTTATCCTTGCCTCATAAATTAGGACACAGAGACAGTAAGAGACTTGCCTAAGGTCACACAGCTAATACAATGTCAGACTTCAAACTCAGGTGTAACTCCAGCACCCCGGCTCTTCCCCGTTATGCACAGTACCCTGGGAGCATGATTAGTGATGGCGTGAAGCCTAAGAGACCTGCAGTCTTCAGGATTTCCTGCTGGCCCTGCAGGCTCGGTCCTTGGGGACGTAAGGGGTACCTTTCCCTTGTGTAGCAAAGGCTTTGGTGGCTGGGCTGCTCAGCCTGGGGGTAGGAGGTCCTTTCCCTAGGCTGTCTCTCTGACTCTGATCCGATCAGGACGATGGGCTCACTCCATGACTGCTCACTCCAGCAGTGCTTCCTCCCCAGGTCTTTGTGGCCACTGACCCTTGTCTCACCCAAACTTAGCAAAAACATGTAAGTAGACAAGCACAAAACCAGCCCCTCCAACCTCTTGCTAACCCTATGGCAGGGGTCTTCTCCCCTAGGGCCTTTGCACATGTTGCCTCTCTTCCTGGGCTGGTCTCTCCAGCCTTCATTCTTAGCCCCACTTATTGTTGGGCAAAGCCCTGATTCTCCTTTATATCTAAGGGTAAATCTTCCTTTCTCTGGGAAGCCTTTCCTGATCATCCCCAGCCCAGGCTCCTTTAATTCCGCCTCTTATCAATTCCTACAGCCACCTGCTTGCTTTTTGTATCACTTGTTAGAATTTTAATTAAATGATTATGAGTATAATGATTTGTTAAGAGCTGTCTCTCTCAATAAATGTTTTATTCACTACTGAAACTCCAAATGCCTCTAACAATGGCTGACTGAATTTGTTGAATAAATGGACAAATGAATCAGCCCTCCAAGGTTTCACCTTCTATCCTGAGGGAAAAGTCTAAGAGTGAGCCCTCTGTGGCTTTTCCAGCTTCCTCGATACTTGGTAGGTTGCCTGTGGTCCCACTGAGTGTTCAGGAGGAAGCCAGAAAACACAATCATCACATAGCTAGGCAGTGTAGGGAGGGAGGGAAGAATGTAAAATTACTAAGAAGCTACTACAGGACCTGCGTTTCCCATTGAGTCCTAAAAAAACATGAAATGAAGGGGAAATGATTTGCATTTGACAAATGAAACAAAAAAAGAGACAGGACAGCTATTAGGGCAGGTCTTTCCTTTGTTCTGGACCTCAGTGTCCTCTTCTATAAAGTGGAGGTGAGGCCAGGCAAATGAGGCAACACTTAACATCCCTTCCAACTGGATCGTTTTCCTGAGAGGTGTTCTGCTGTTCACTGTGTGTGTGTGTGTGTGTGTGTGTAAGTACACAAAATCACCCTGGCCAGGACTGTCATTAGCATGAGTGCTAGGACCTCAGTTCCTCAGCGGAGACATCTGCATTTGAATGGTTATATCGCAAAGCTGGGGCAGGGGTGTCTGAGTCCTGTGTACCCAGGGAGGCTGGAATGTCTTGTTCAGCTTTTGCACTCTTCCATTGAAAGGATTTCAGAGAGATTAGAGCCACATGCATATGAGATTTGGCCAAATCGGGCTGTATTCCCAGCGCTGATGTTTGGGCCATTTCATCAACTCAGCATCCTAAGATGCTTTTCCCAGGTGAAAGCAGAAGCTGTGATAAATGATAATGCAATCAGCACCCACAGGCAAGATGAGAAGATAATCAGTTGTTCCACCATTCTTTGCTGATTCTTTGGATTTCATTGATGTTTCCCCCACTGCTTCCAAATCACTGTCCCCAAAACTCTGAGGAGGAAATGGAAGTTTATTCTGATGCACCAAGCAGTTAGTAGAATTACTTTCATCTTGCCCAAAATTTCAGCTAGAAAAAAATGTCACCAGCTGGATCTTGCAGGCCCGAACACTGCTGAGAATGCATCTGGCACTCTTTTCTTATTCCTTGGGTCATTCTTCCTCTGGCATTCACATTTTCCAGGAAGAGCTACCAAGCGGATTCAATTCTAGAAATTTTTGTTTTGTTTTGCCGTGCTGTGGATCCAACCCAGGCCTTTGTGCACACTAGGCAAGCACTTTACCATACAGCTACATCCCCAGCCCTCAACTCTTTAACCTTTGCAGGGATACAGAGACTGTTAAATGGGATTGGAAAACTAGAGGCTATTTTGCAAACTGGAGAAATACCAGCAGGACCTTTGAAACAGAAAACAGGAATGAAGAGAGGGTATACTGGGGAAAAACTGAGAGGAAGATGCCCCAGAGTGCTGTTGATTTGTGAGGGTATCAGGAAAAGCTTTTTAGGAGATAATAGTAACAAATCTTCAGCTGCATGCTCCTGGCACATTATGTGCATGAACTCATTGCCCCCTTCCACCATTATACCATGAGTTTTTTATTCTTTGCATGACTATTTTAAACTAGGGGAAACTGAGGCACAGAGAGGGGTGGACCCTGGCCCCAAATGAGGCAGGAGTTGGTACAATGTATAGCGTACTCTCTGAGAACAGCTAGGAATTACAGCTGGGATGGTATGGATCCTGGTGGCCACAGTTTGTTTACCCTGAGCCGGGTGCTGTGCTGAGCCCTGGTCCCAGGTAGCACATGCCCCATTCACAAGGTTGGAGTTGTTTTTATCCTGAACTTTGTGCAGATGAGGAAAGAGAGGAGAGGGGTCAAAACAGAGGCAGCCTTCACTCCGATCGTTTCTGCCCAACATCCTGGTCACTACAGGAGATGCATTTTGACAATGCCAGCACTTTTTGGAATGCGCCCCCTGAGCCTGGGGCTGATCATCTTGTCTTCCCGCTCAGGACTCTGGGAGGTGGTCAGCTCTTCTTTGCTGGCAGTGTCTCTTGCCTTATTGTGGGCAGCTGTGGAAGAGGCACCCAGACAAAAAAACCCCGAGGTAAAGAGCTGGGGTGGGGTGGGGGTCAGAGTTAGCAAGGGAGGAGGACAAGCTCTACACTTCTTTATAAACTGAGAAGGGCTAGAATCACCTAACATTTAGCTGCATGTGGCTTTGTGCAAACAGAGTGGGTTCACAGGCCCTGTCTCATTTACCAGAAAGTGGACTTCTGGGTGGATCTTGGGTAGTGGTGGAGAAATAGGTCAAAGAGGTTCAAGAGACCTATCAGGGCCACACAGCTAGGAAATGGCAGTATCTTTCCCTGTCTCTGGGTCAGCAGGTATTTCTGGTCAGTATTGTAGTCAGATTGAAGCCAGGAGACCCATGAACGCACAGAGAAAGACATGGGTGAGGAGCAGGTGATGTTTCAGACCTGTGTCCTCATCCACTGTGTAGGTGGCCCTGCCACAACCAGGGCCCAGGCAGGGGACACCCCAGGGTACTTAAACTGGGCTCCAGGGAGGCTTATGGCAAGCAGCCAGGACAGGCCAGTCTGTGTAAGCCAGAAGCTGTGAGCAGTTTCCTAAGGCTGGGGAGGGCGGGAGGAGAGGGGAGTGAGTGCTAAGGACTGTAGGGGCTTTTTGCTGGGGAGTGTGGTGATGAAAACCCTCTCAAGTTGACTGTGGCGAGGGTTGCACAGCTCTACACCGATAAAGCTGCTGTTACTGTTTAAGAGGGCGTGAGGGGGCATGGAGCAGGGCTGGCTGGCACGGAAGGACACCGGGAGCTGTTCCTGCAGGCTTTTGGGTCCATAAGGCTCTAGAAGCAGACACTGTTTACTTCTCATGGAGCAATAGCTGCTGTTTCTGCCAGTCCCTACCACCCCTCTGCCAGGTGCCAGAACAAGGGAACTGCTCCCCTTGCCACCCAGGTCCAGGTCCCTGGTGGTGGCTCCACTGGGCCTCAGCCCTGGGGACCCTGCAGAGCAGCCCAGCTCCCTCCCCAGCCTCAGGCCCTGCCATCTGGCCTGACACCAGCCTTTCTCTCCTGACCAGGGCACTTCGAACATTAAGCCCAGACTGAAAAACAAAGTCCCGTCCAAAGTCTGCCTGCCAAGCAGGGATGGACGTGGCCAGTAACAACATTCTGGGTCTGAGGCCAGAATTGTGCACGCTGCCCTCTAGGGTCCCTGCCTAATGCCTTTTGTTCCCCAGCCCAGTCTGTGATGCTGTGTCGCCTGGACAGCTTCCAAAGCAAATAGGCAAGCTCTGCTCCCTTCCCCCTGGGAGACCACTCTGTTCCCCGGAGCGCTGTCTCCCGGGGACGGGACATTCTGTTGAGACCCAGGGGCACCTTTCCCAAGAGGTGGGAAAGGGTGAGTGTCTGGGGCCACAGGGCAGGTGGCGGTGCCCAGGCTTCTGTCAGCAAACAGCCTTTTGTATCCGCTATGAATCAAACCATAGCTGGCAGCTTCCTTTCTGCAGAGCCTCTGAGTCCAGGGCATGGGAGTGAAGTGGAGACCGAGGCTGGACCTGGGCATCTGGGAGAGTGGCTGAGTGAGGAAGCTCTGGTCAGTGCTGCAGAGGGAGCCGCTGTGCAGCAGCCCATGCGACTGCAGAACCTGAAAGGGAGACTGTGTGGAAGGAGGGTGAGCAGGGAGAGGGGAAAAGGAAGAGCCCTGGGCCTGGACAGTAGGCTGAATCATCCACTGAGAACTGTTCTGCATTCGCTTTTTATTTTAGTGCATGGAATGAAAGCTCAATTGCTTAAACTGAAGAGAAACGGCTAGTTTGGGCTGTTGGATGGCTTGGACTTAGATGCAAACGACTTTCTGGTTTAACCTTTGTCAGGAAAGTAGAAGTTTGGAAGAGCTGGGGATCCTTTACCTTGTCTGTGCTGGAGGAGGTTTCCCAGCTGTGAGTCTGTGAGTCGGGACCGGTGGCCCACGCAGCCCTTCCCAGGCCCCACCAAGACACCATCAGGGTGGCCTGTGCGGTTCCCTGGTGCAGGAATCAAGTACATGCCCTGGGATGCGGGTTTGGGTGGCGCTGTGAAAAGGGGTCCAACCTGCGGTCAGTGAGCAGTAAAGGAGCAAGTCCCTTTACGGGAATCAAGTCAGAGCTTTGCTTTGCAAATCTGTAGAGAAGCACAGATCAGGCCATAAATAATTCTACAATGATGGCAACTCGGGCCAGGGGCCCGTGGCATGGAATCTATGATTCCACATTGCTTGTGTAGACCTCATGTGACAAGTGTGACCACCGGACGCTTTTATGGAACTGAGACTTGGTTTTGCTGCAGCAGTGACAAATCCGTCATGATCATTGACTCCTGTCACGGTCCTGCCCTCTCCTCTCCCCACCCCAGGGTGGCAGCCACCTTTGCTGTACTCGAAGGGGTGTTATTCTCAGCCAAAAAAAAGAGGCCGAGACCCAGCCCTGGTGTGGCAGAGGCAGAGCAGTGTGTGGCGACCCCCGTCATCACACGGTGATTTGCACGGAGAACTGCACAACTGCAGAGTGGGGCTGGTGCCACCTTCAGCAGCCCTGCTGGTTGGATAGGCGTGTCCCAGAGCAGTGGCACCCTGTGTGGCTGCAGCGCTGCTGTCCCTGAGCCTCAGCAATAGGATGTTACCGTGCTGGTGTTCCTGGGCTAGAGGACAGCTGGCCTGAGATACTCAACAGTAAAAACAGTGGAAGTCCCCGTCCCTGTGGAGACCCCAAGTACACAGTGATGCTAGGCACATTGTTTTCATCTCCCCTTCTCTGAGTCCCCTATTTTTTGTTTCTTTTGCTGGCCAATTGTTATGGCTTGAATTGTGTCCCCCAAAAAGATACGCTGAATTTCTAATCCCTCCTACCTCAGAATATGACCTGAAGTAGAAACAGGGTCACTCCAGATGTACTTAGTTAAGGTGAGGTCATATTGGAGTAGGGTGAGTCCTCAGTCCAATGTGATAATTGCCCTTATAGGAAGGGGAGAGAGCCACATAGAGAAGGCCACACGGTGTCACAAAGAAGTTGTATTAGTCACTCTCCCATTATTAGGACAAAATATTTGATACTCATAACTTAAAGGAGGAGAGGTTTGTTTTGGTTCACAGTTACAGAGGATTCAGTTCATGGCTGGTTGGCTCCAAGGTAGAAATGGCATGATGGAAGGGCATGGTGGAGGAAAGCTGCTCACTCCATGGCAACTAGGAAGCTGAGGGAGAAGGGAGGAGCCAGGGACAAAAATACACTCTTCTAGGTCATATCCCCAAGTGACCCGCCTCTTCCAGCCAGACCCCACCTCCTAACAGCAAAGTCAGCTATGAATTCATCAGGTCAATCCATTGACGAGTATAGTGCCTCCTTGATCCAGTCACCTTCCAAAAGCACCACCTCTGAGCACAGAATACTTTGGGGTCTAAACCATAACAAAAGTGGAGGCTGAGGTGTTGGCACCGCATGCCAAAGAATGCTGAGACTTGCTGGCCACCCCCAGAGGCCAAGAACAGGCAAAGAAAGATTCTCCATTTTCAGCAGGAGAATGGTTCCGCCAAAACATTGGCTTTGGCCTTCTACTCCAGAATTTATTGTGAGACAGTAAATGCCTGACGCTTTAAGCCCTCAGCTTGTGGCACTTTGTTATAGCTGCTTCAGGCAACTCATACACTAACCTCTACTGTGCCACACGATTTCAGCCTGATCTGTATTTTTTTCCCTTGAAAATGTTGAGATCTGCCCCAGGCAGTACTCATTCCTGGGGGCCACTCTGCCTCCCCTGCTCCAGTTTGTATTGGGTTTGTCCTGTAGCAGAAACGTCTTAATATCCTCATGCTCAAGTGTGAGGGGACAGTTGTCCTCAGTACTAGGAAGCAATTCTGTTTACCATGGCATTTTCTCATCAGAGACTCTCAACAGCCCCTGCACATTGCTTTACTCCAGCTGTTGTTTTTGCAGACATCTCAGGTGAAAATATTTGTTCACTCCCCAGTCCCTTACCCCTTCAGCCCTCAGGGGCCCCTCAGCTATGGCTCCATGTTGCCTGGCCTTGAAGCTGCCAAATTGACCAGAGTCCACTTTCTCAGCAGCTCAGGGACACCCGCCCACTCACTAGCCTGCTTAGTACTGATCCTCCATTTGAAGGTGTGTTTGACACTTGACCCCAGGACACACTCCCTCAATCAATTCTGCACTTGCCACCTTGGAGCAGGGAGGCAATCACAGAGGAGAGGATTCTGGGGTCACTTGCTGGACTTCCAGGCAAATTCTCACTTCCCAGCCTGGTCCAGGTTGTCTGGAAACCTCCTACCCCTACCCCTGCCAGCTGCCACTCTGTGAAGCCCAGGAGTGGGATTCAGGAGCCAGATCAGAAGAGATGGCTGCAGCCTAGGCAGGTCCAGGCTGTGCTCTGGGCCAAGGAGAGCCCGGCAGGGAGAGTCCTGGGGGGCTCTGAGATGTTAAATTCTGCTCATCTGCCTTCTATTTTAAAATGGTGCGAGATGCATGGGAATTGGGAACCTCCACTCTCCTTCCCAGCTAAACTTGGACTTTGCTAAGTGAGAAAATGATAGGAAGAAGAGCACAGCCTTTGGGGTTGGGTACCTGCTCTGAACACGACTAGCTGTGTGATTGTGGGCAGGTGACACAACTTCTATGAGCATCAGTCTCCTCTTCCCTAGAATGGGGAAGGGGCACCCCTGACCAGGGAGAGGTAGTGAGGAGAAGAGAAATGAGCATAGTAATGAAGCACATAGCAGCGGCAGACATGCAGGAGAAAAGGAACGCAGGCGCTGTTATGTTGGGCAGCTCACCTTGCATCTGCGGGCTGCCTCTTCCATCTTCCCATGGCTGGAAGCAGGCAGCTTGCAGGGCTTGGACTTCAAACATCCTATGCCCGAGAAGGAAACAGCTGCTTCTCCCTTCTTGGCATCAACCATTGTGTCTACTTCCTTCTTCTATTTTCCCACTATCTTACGTTCAATAGCATTTTTCCTCATAATGAATACAGTTCATATTTTAAAAGATGATAGAAAATACAAACATGGAAAAAGAAGTTTAAATTTCAGGACCCAGAGAACATTTCAGAATATAACTTTCCAATTTCTCTGCATCTTTCTTCTCACTATAGAACCTTATGTGACCACTTTTCCAAATGCTCATGTTCTGGGCCGCATAGTTGCTTGACACAGTTGCTTGATAACCCAGAGTATGAAACCCTTGAACACTGATAAGATTTTTACTGTTGGTTCCTAGCAAAGTGTCCCATTTCTTCTTGGCGCAAACAATGCTATGTGATTAGGAGGTTGTGATTTGGGGAGTGATGCCAAGGGCTGGGCCAGGAGGGAGCAGGGAAGATTGGGAAGCAGACTTTATAACTGGGCTGGTCCTAAAGATCTGCTGATTGATTGCAGGTGGTCTGTGAAGAAATGGGCGGGATGGAAGGTAGCTTGAGGAGTCCTTCCTCCAGGGTTCCAGCCTGAGCAACCAGAGAATGGATTTGCCTTTGGTGATGGAGACCAGGAAGGCTGTGTGTGGTGCATAGGAGACCAGCAAGAGCCTGGTCCTAAAATATTAAGTCCAGGCTTCTCTTAAACACGCAAGTGGAGATGTCAATCAGGCCATTGGAGATGAGTATAAAATTCAGGGAAAATTTTCTGGCTGGAGATGTAAAGTAAGATCTTATCAGCATATGGAGATGGATGTAGAGAACTGAAATCACCATGAAGATTTCTAGGGGACCCCAAGAGCTGCAGAATTCAGAACAACTCTGACCCATTCTTAGGAATCCTGTCTTTTTTGGCTGCAGGAAAATGGTGACACCGGGCCCTCATTCTCCTAAGACAATGATCCCAAAAGAACTGCCACTTTCTCTAAAAAATTTTCTAAGTCTAGAACTATGACACCTTGGACAGAAAGCCACAGGAGCCCCTCCCAGCTGTGGATAACAGAGACCGAGTTATGAACTCTTTTGAGGCTGATTTCTTTTCAGGCCATAGGATCATGCTAATGAGTGTACTCTGATTAATTCTTCAGCACAACTCACCCTGTTGTTAAAAATAAAATGAGTTATGTCTACTTTCCTGTTTCTTTTGGCAGAGATGTTGGGGCAGGGGCTGCACGGGGCAGAAGAAGGTGGTGGGATCCACCTGCAGCTCTGGCTAGCTTGAAATTGGTTCCTCTCACCATTTGTTTACCAGTCTCTGCACAGAGAGAACAAGAGAAATGGAGACTGAAATGAAGCCAAGCCGCTCCCTGATGGCCTGGTGTTGCCACCTAAATGAGGACTTGAAGTTCCTAGAGGCTGGGCAGCAGACCAAAGCCCTCACTTACAGCACCCCCAAGGACAGTGTGCCTCCATGTCCATGGGCTCCACCTTTGAGGATTCAATCAACTGCAGATGGAAAATATTTGGAAAAAAAATGAGTTGCATCTACAACGAACGTGTCCAGACTTTTCTTATCATTATTCCCCAAGTAATATAATATAAACACTATTAGCATAGGATTTACAGTGTATGAGGTATTATAAGTAATCTAGATGTGCTTTAAAGTATGCAAGAGGATGTGCATTGGGTATATAAAAAGTTACATCATTTTATACAGGAGATTTGAGCACTCATAGATTTTAGAATCCCTGGGGGTTGTGGAACCACCCCCAAACATATCAAGGGACAACTGCATACATGGTTCCAGTGGGGTTAGTGGATAAATGCTGGGAAACAGAGGAAGATACAGTGTTAAGTGAGGTTAACAGCAAAGTTAAAAAGACAAAATGTCAAGTGGATTTCGTAGAGGAGAATGGATGTGTCCTGGTGAAATGTTGCAGAAGAATTATGCTAACTCCGGTCCTCTGGCCCCCACAGGCTGCTTTCTTGGTTTGTCCTGGTTGTTATATGATCATTTTAGATATGTATCTTGAAAAAATGCCCAGCCAGCCTTATAAAGGCCTGCAGGCTCTGTGTGTGAGGATCTCAAGCTTGTGAGCCTGTTTTTTGTGGGTACCATCTCCCTGATTCAAGACTTCCTGTTTGAGCCTAACCACTTACCTGTCCTTGGGAAAATAACCAAACGCCTTTAGTTTTCAATTTCTTCATCTTTTAAATGGGAACAGTGATAGCATAATGGTTGAGAGAATTAAGTAAAACAGTATCCTCCAGTTGCCCGTCTATCCTGGCTCTTAGTTTGGTGTCCTGCACCCCAAACTGATTCCAGTCCCACCTGCCAACAAGGGACTGAGTTATTTTTAGCACCAAAGACTGGAGAGTCATTCCACAACTCCAGTTCAAGTCCCCAAAGGCAGAAGGGGCTCTTGGCCAGGCTTATCCAGATGTTGCCCCAGCTGGAGGAGGCCCCTAAAGGAATGGTTTCCCATCAGGGTCCTGTGGCATCACCCTGGTATGCCCTGGTACCCTTCACAGGTATGAGAAAACCAATTAGGATCCATGGGTGGAATAATTCTGTTATAGCTGAGGATATCTACTGATAGAGACATGCTGCGAAATAACAGGAGCTGAAATGTGGTGAGAGCTACAGCTTAGCGCTACGACAGAGGTGCACAGCCTACGCCATGGAAGGATCACGTGATTGCTAGGAGTGGTAGAGTTGCTGTGTGGGAACAAAAGGGGGCGTCCTTGGGGTGGTGAGCAGTCCTCTGAGAGAGCAGCACAGGGCTGAAGAGGCAAAAGAAGCAGTGACAGGGTGGGCTGTTGACTTCCTCCTCCTCCTTCCAGTCTTGGTTAGGGCATGGCAAGACACATGGATATTAAACCTTCCTGGGGGAAAGAGTCATGGGGAATCTAATAAGAGCTTTATTTAGTCAGTCATTCCACCTTCCACTCACTCAGCACATGCTTTGTTTGGGGACTCTGAGGGTCAGACCAGGCTACGTATTGAGAATCTCAAGGAGAAAGGGGCCTTGACTCCTGTTCTTGCAGAATGTAGGAACTCAGGGGCCGGCAGGGAGACCGGGCAAGCTGTAGCAGGAATGGTGCTTCATGCCCTGGGCAGGCACAGGCAGGGTGGGGTGCAAGGCATTCTGGAAGTGTGCCAGCCCACAGACTTGAGCCAGAAGGCGCTGCACACAGGACCCCCAAAGTCCTGGAGGGGCTCTGGTAGTGAGCCCTGCACGGCTCCCTGTGTCCAGGAGAAAGGCCAGCCTCCTCCCCAAGGCCCGCCAGCCTGAGAGAAAAGGGATGTGGGCCTTGCTTACTCCTGCCCCTCGGTCGCCTCCACACCCCCAACACAGGCTCTCATGGGGCTCACTGGGCAGCCTCGGGACCTGCCCTCATCAGCTCCGCCTTAACACACTCTTCACCCAGGTGTCACTCGAGGCTTCTGCTCATCTCCTCAGCGTAGGTGACTTCACCTCTGTGTTCAGCACACAGATCGGACACTCTTCTGATCTGCCCCTTCCCCTGATTAAATCCGGTCTCTGGCTTCCCCAAGAAGCACGCTGGCCAACGTGCCAGCTTCTGTGGTCAGCTTCTGCCTGTGCCCTGCCCAGCATCAGCCCCTGCCGCAGCTCAGACCTCTGTCTTGGAGCTGTGGCTGTCACTAGATGTCCTCAATGATAACAAAATCCTCTGCTCTTTGTTGGGCTTTTCCTTCACAGCTGTAACCAAATAATCACATAGGTCGTTCACTTATTTGATCCTTCAACAAACATTTATTACTTGTTTAGCATTTCTTTCTTCTGATAAATGGTAAATTTAATGAAAGCTGAAATTACATCTAACTTATCTGTTCCCATATCCCCTGAACAAAGCATAGAACACGCATAATTTAACAGTAATAATTGGAATGGGCTGAATGTGTCCCTTACAACAAAAAAATTTATATGTTGAAATCCTGATGTCCTTACACTGGTATGAGGGGCTGGGGCCTTTGGAAGATGATTGAGCATGAGGTGGAGCCCTCGGGAATGGGATTTGCACTTTTATAAAAGGGACGCAGAGAGCTCTCCCTTTCTACCTGCCTGGTGTGAAGGCAATGAGCAGAAGGCAGTCTGGCCAGCAGCAGGCCCACACCAGACCCTGAGCCCTCCCGCACCCTGCTTTGGGGCTTCTGGCCTCCAGAACTGGGAGAAATAAGGCTCTTTTCCACTTCTGGTCTTCAGTGAGGTATACACTAGCTATCTTTTCCTTGGCAGGTGATCCAGGCCGGGATGCCCGGATATCACATTACTCCTCCCATCTAGAATAGCCTGCCCCAGCCAGGGCATGGGTGTGGATCAGACCCTGCAGGCCTTTCCTCCAGCAAGCTGCAGGGAGCCTGGTGCACGATGATCCCACAAACCAACAGGGCCTCTCAGGGAGATTCTGGGCCTTCTCTGGGGACACCGAGGCTGGAATCTGTGATGCACTTCTGATAATCCAGCTGCAGCTCAGACCTGTTAATTAGGGTTGTGTTTATTTTGTGCTACATAAAGCAGATTTGATTAAGTGAGCGGGATGGAAATGTTTTGAGGGAACAGCACTTTCAGACTGGCTGAGAATATCTTTACTCTTTCCTTCGGGCCCAGGGGCCCTGAGCCCTTTCTTTGCTGGTTCAGAGGAGGCAGGGGGTTTCCCGGCAGGGCACCTGGAGCTTGGCTCTCCTCCATGCTCCTCCAGCCCTGGGCCTTGGGGAGGACTGGGAGGATTTGGCTGCCGCTAATCCTCTTAGGTTCGATGTGCATGCAAACAAACAGCCTGGGCGTTTTACCAGACCAGGGCTCAGGACCTGACACCAGCTCATTTGCAGGCAAGTTTGGCTTACTTACAGATGCTTTTAAATGCTGCTGGAATCTAGGAAAGTATTCAAGGACCTGCCAGCATCGAAGCCACACCAACCCAGTGCCAAACTCCACCCCATGGGCATGGGGCCCTCCTGTCCAGTCCCCTCCTGACCCCTCTGTCCAGCCGCACTGCCTGCTTTCCAATGTGACTGCTCCTTCCTGCCCCAGGTTTTTGCAAATACCATTTCCCTCTTCTCTCCTTCCTCCTCCCTCACTTTTAGGGCCCATTCCCACTTCCTCTCTCTTTAGAGACTAAGCAAGGACCTCTCCCAGAGGACACAATCTCCGCACTAAGCTCTCAGGCAGCCGGGATTGCAAGAAGGAAGAGCAGAGAAATGAGCCTCCAGAGCGGGATCCCAAGGGTGTCTCCAGGTGGCTGTGGGTACTGCTTGCTCTGCTGGTTGCTGTCCAAATCTGGTGCTCAGTGGAGGCAGAGGTGTGGGCCTCGGGGGAGCAGAGGCCGCCAGTGCTGCCAGGGGCCTTTCATTACTCATTGCTAATTGTGGCAAATGGGGATTTTATTGCTCCCTTGGCCCTCACTGTGAGCTACAGCAGCTCCTTGACAAGGAGGTGGAAGACCAGCCTGGGAGACCCTGCCTGGCTGCTGCATTCAGCCCTGCACACGAGCCTGGGTCCAACAGCCATCTGGATGAGGTGGTGGGAGTCCTCAGCATGGGCCATTCATATTGAGATAACACCCGGACACCCACGGCTCTCAGTAAGTGCTCACTGCTCTGCTGTATTGGTGGTTCCTGCAGAGCTGCAGAGAGGACAGGGACTCCTCACTATCCCATAAGAGAAGCCAAGCCCAGATGTGAGCTGGACGAGGTGAGAGTCTCCTTCCTCCCTAAGACCTAACCCTGGGAAGCCGTCCCTTATCGGAAGTACCTCTGTATGATATCACTGCCCTCACAACCAGAGAGGCGAGCATCATTCTCACGCAGTACAAGAGAGAAAGCCAGCCCTGGGAGACCCAAGGGCCGTGGCTAGCCAGCCAGCTCTGCTGGTCACTGGCCTCGGGCCTCTGCTCTTCTGGTCTTGGCTCCCTGCTGCTCCTGCTCCCGGCTGCTGAGGACCTGGGACTGGCCTCCAGGTCTACCGGGTCCAGCAGGAGCCTTTCTCTATGCTGGGCCCCCGCCCACCTGTCAGAGGGTCAGCCCAGTGATAGGCAGCTTGTGATTCCGTCTCCACACCATCACCGGAGAAGGGGCCCGCCTGTTCATCCTTTTTAAAAAAGAGAGGAGTGGTCCAGAGCGCGCTTGTTTCTATGGTTATGGGGGTGTGGCCTCTGGAGGCTCCTGATGTGGTGATCAGTGGCTGAGAGGATGCTGCCTTGCACCCTCGGGAGAGTCACTGGGTCAGCAGTGACTTCAGCCTCCTGCCTTCCTCACCTTGAGTGTCCAGAGCTCCCTGGCCCCAGCAGGAGCCCAGGAGCCCCTCTCAGCCTCCCATGTGCCCCGCCTGCTGACAGTCACTCCCACCCCCACAGGCACCCGGTGACAGCATTGGCAGGCTTTGAAAATGCCTCCTTCCAATCCCAGTTTCTTGGGCAGGAGAAAAACAAATCGTGACATTTTTAAATAAGGGGGTTGTGTATTATTTTGTTGAAGAGAAAATGGCTGTATCCATGTTGTTATTGCATGTCTGTGGGGAAAAACTTTC